AAAACCGACATTGATATGGTAAAATAAACGTATTTTGTTTGAAATAATTAAACCCTCGTCTGTAGTATTGTAATTTTTTTTAAAAACCTATACATTGTTATGTTGCGATTAATAAATTGGCAAATTTAATAGCCGAACGTCCAAGTTTGACTAGGAAATAGTAAAGATTAGAAATTTTGTACATACTTTAAAAATGCAGTTTTAAATATGATATTTATTTCATTATTTATTATTTGTTGTAGGCATAGTTGCGCAATTAGTAAGGTTTTTCTATTTAAATAATTTTATAATACATTTTGAAATTTTTAGTTGATAACAGGTTAATGTCGTTGATTAATAATATTTACAACGAAACTAAATTATAATAAAACAAAAACGTAATTAGCTTTTGTAAAATTGATGTGGAAATAGTTGAATATACCATTTATTTGGGATATGCTATAGATATGGATATTATTGCTCTCATAATTTATTGCAATACTGAAATTAGCCTCAAAGTTTTCTTTATAAATCAGGGATGTTAAGTAATTTGTGAGGAATGATAAGAAATATATTTATGTTATCTAATTTATTCATACGTTATTCTTCCCTAGCTAAATCGACCCAATTTATTGTAAAAACTTTTATGTTACTCGATGAAACTTAGTCCCCCCATCGTGAAAGTTTGATGCAGACCAAGATGATAGCATCCAGGGAACGAATTTTAGGGAGGGCATGCTTACAGTATGTTTACTTACACGATGGGATATCCTAACTATGTTTATGGGTGCAAAGAATATTGTATTTAAGTTTTCATTTTATATAACAATAAAAAAAAATTAAGTGAACTATATGGAAATGATATAATAGTAATTTTCTTTAAGATAAATATTATTACAGAATAGCATTATTCTCACTTCTCGATTAAACAAGTCTGAATGCAAATATGCACTTGTAGTGTAATTAATAAAATTGTTCAGAAATCCTACATTTAAATGCGTGTTATTCGGAATTATTACTTACTTTGATGTCTACTCTGATTTGTTTTTGTTTTTCCATTAGATAAGACACGTTTTTTGCTGTGCTTTTTCAAATTGAATTAAGTCAGGGCAAATGACAAACGATGCTCGAAGTAGATTAGCTTGTCACGTTCAATAAGTCTTCGTCTCCCGACGTGTTCGTCGTTATATCCTATTGTAATTTATTTGAATGGTGTAACTTTTGGCCTTCACTGTTTCTATCTTTCTTCTAAATTGGTTGTTTTTTCTTACAAAATATGAAATTTTCTTAAGCTCTTACATTACTAAATAAGAATTAATACTAATCTTTCATATATTCATTCATATTTATAATTTTTGGTATCTTATTATTTTCATGAATAAGTTTCTGATAAATAATCCGACGTATGTTATTTTCTTGTAAATTGGTTCATATGAAAACTCAGAGTGATTTTCTTTTTATTATGAATTCAAAACTACCGTAAGTAATTTAACTTACGTACACATAAACTTCTAACTATAATATTAAAGTTGGTACGGAATATCTTAGTACCAAAAGGATATAACGTGACCGCAAGGAAAATATTTTACACGCGCATGCAGTCCTTCAAAGAGTATCATGTAGCATGAACAATGTAACTGGTGAGAGCCGTAAGGGTCACGTTCGCCTATCGAGTTACCTGCTTCGACGTAATTCTTTCTCCTATTCAAGTTACAAAAAAACTGTAACTCCGCGTATGCATGTAGAGACTTGCTTTTGTTTGAAGCACACCCCGCTTTTGTGGGAGCATGAAAACCTGTTTATAGGTACTTTTAACAAGACAACAAATGCACGAAGCTTTCGGTGATATTTACTTATATTATTAAAGATGTTTAAATTATGAGGGTATGATATAACTGCTATGAAAATTTCGTATGCTTTTTCAGAATTTTGCAACACTTTATGCACCGGATACGTTATCAGTTCATTCGCGGATGAACAAGTCTGACTTCTGGCACAATGCTCTGAAAAGATAAAATAGTGGTATCAGTGAAACAAACGGATTGACTGTTGAGTGGAATGATATGATAGATGGTTTGCAACAAGTCGTACATATAACATCTAAATTTATGCCTATGATAAATACAGAATTGCAAAATATTAGTAATCTTATGTGTAGGTTTTACACAATTTGACGTAATTTTCTTTGGAAATCTCAATAAATCCTTTTTATTGAAGCAGTTATATTGTTATTATTATTCAAACATTTGACGGTTATTGCGACCTTGAGCCCGGAACGTAATATGAATACAGCCAGTCGTCGGGCAACAATCTCAAGGTCTAAGAAAGTTGGTTGCTCTTTGATGAGCGCTACTCCCACTTCTTTCATGAATCAAATGATTATTGATTTTTACACCTTTAATTTACCTGTGAGTAAGTACTGTACACTCTATTACTAATAAAGCCATTGTGAACGAAAGCCTTACTAATGGTTAGAGAATAGTATTATTTTTAATGACAAAATTATTATTACAATGAATCTTAATGACATTATTCTACATCCCAGCTATTCAACTTAAATTTTCCTATATAATTTGCATAATTAAGCAAAATTCCAGCTCCCTAATAATAATCCTGGACGTAGGGAGCTTGTAAGTTGACGACAATATTATCCTTTTTAATCGATTGGCAGGAACCTATATATAGTCCGCTTTGATATTACGCATACCAAGGATGCCATATGTATTATAATATACGCGAGAAATATAGGTTTTATTGCAAGGTTTGCATTGGATCAAGACAGTGCATCTATTCTAGCTATCTCTTTCGTAAATGGGGGGTTGGGGATGAGTGACTGAAACAAAAACAAAGATTTCCCCGCCTAAGCTTGGATCCGCCCGCCCGCCCAGTCACAATCGGTGCTCCGCTCTGGAAACACCTTGGAGTACACTGTTAATTGTTATCCCTGATAATAATTAGTTTAAAATATAACATTGATTCAAAAAAGTGAAAAGATAGCATCATACGTCCTACCATAAAGAGTAAAGAGCAACAATAATGAACAGGTGAGAAAAATCTTAATAGTTTAGCAATTTGTCTGTTTTCCACAGCATAATGAGAAACAATTTGTTCTTAATTTTTTTGATGTAGTATTTGATTGTATGCGGTAAACGCTATGTTTTCTATTTTACTTTCTTATCACTTTACTTTACGTTTTAGAATCACGTTTATAACAAGTAGGCCTATGAATTCTGAAAGTTTTTTTTTTGTTTTTGACCGAGATTGTTTTATGCTTGTGTCATCATTTTATTTCACGCGTCGTTTAAAGTATTTCATATATGCGTGCAAGTCGAACGGCAACCTTCAAATCATTTCACGGTTACTATTAAGTTACAACATGCGAACTACTCGTAATCTAGTTTTTGGAACCGCGTTGTAATGAGAGTTCTATCAAGAGAAGTTTACACACGGAATAACAAAATAAGCTACAAGATTTTATACTAACAGAAATATTAAAATTCATAACGTCATTACTGAATTTGTGTTTTAGAAACGTTTGATAGAATTGAGTGTTGCCTTGGGGAACTTGAAGTTGCGATAACTTTAAATAAATAGATCTAATTATAAATCGGTATGGACGTATATATGATTCTGGTACCGAATGGCTCAGAGGCTCTGGTTCAATTCCCGATCTGTTCAATGTAGAAAATGAACTTTTCTATATTGTTAGGGTCTGACTGTTGTTGTGTTCTAATTAATAGACTCCCATGTAAAAGGTGCTATAAGCTGCTTATTTGGGATCTGCACAATGTGTGATATTGTCTTATATTTATCTATTGTTTTTACTATAGTAATATACATTATTAGCAGATTGAAACTAGTCGAGAATAGCTAATAAGGAACACAAATATTACCAACTATCATTCTCTCAGTATATTTTTCACATAAAGACTGTAAAAAGCAAGAACGATTTTTAACTAAAACTTTTTCTCTGTCATCCTCACGCACTCTGATGGCGGATGCCGCCTCTCAGTACTACAATTGTTATAGAGAAAGGGGCGACACCCTCCTACGCAGCAATGTCTATTCAAGTGGAAATAGAGATGTTCCATATATTCTGTTTCTTGATACCTGATTTCTTACCTCATAGCTGTTTAACCGGTTGTCTGTCTTTTCCTTTTCACCCGAATTCTGTTCGATAAATATTTATTCTGTAACATTAACAAACAAAAAATAAATTGATGCAACATATTGCATTAATGTAATGATTATTAAAAAAAAAGAAAAACATATCACGGGCGATTGCTCTAACCATTGAAATACCCTGGATCCAATATGTCTGACGATTTTTTTAAGCAGTTGTTACTTTTCGCTACAAGTGAGTGTATTTTCATTAATGCTCAGACAATGCCCACCCAAATAGCGAAAATAAATATTTTACAATGTGTTTTGAAAATCGATTAAAATAATATTTTTTGCAAATTTTTATATTTCATCAATTTGCATTAAATATATTTATATATCAGTACAGCATTGTAAAGGCAAATTGACCTGATATGATAAATAATAACATATCAGTTCCAACGATGATCAATATGCTCGCTAGATGCATAACCCTTCTTTTTTAAACCCCTACGACTGCACCGAATTACCCCAAGTAATTATCATAGGTTCGAAAGAAGGGTGCGGTTTTTTTCTTTGGACATATTTTTTTTGCAACACTGGGGTAACTGTACTATTTATTACATGCTTATATAACATTGCGTGCCTCACTTGGAAATGTTGCTTATTACGTTACCTTCCGTATAAATTATCATCACAGCAAAAACAATATTTTAGTGCATCCTCAAATGTATGATAATTTTCCTAGCGGTTTCTAAGTAATATGATTTTCATTCAATTACGTTATTAAGGACTATTAACTGTTTATTAATTTATTCTTTATATGTTAACTGAGTATAGTTTGAACTAGGAAAAGAGATAGATCTGCTGATTATAAGCATAAAATTAAAAATTACTGATATTCATTTGTTTTGTTGCAGTTTACAGCCTGGGTTGATGCTGTGATCTTCGTTTTCAGTCTTGATAACGAGATCAGTTACAACACGGTATCCAGTTACTTTAATAAGATGTCCCACTATAGAAATTCCGCAGAAATACCTATCATTTTGGTCGGGACCCAAGGTAAGTTGATTGGGAATTCCTGACTGATAATAAAAATTGTTTCATGTAATGTAGAAGAACATGAAAGGCCATAATGGCGTATTTATTATTTTTGTTTAAACAGTAAAAACCATTTGTAAAGCAAAACTAACTAAATGTGATGATGAATTTTAATAGGAGGCTTATGCTACGGGGTATAGATAGAGTGCGTGACTATGGTAGCTGATCAATTCTGAAAACAGAAAGTGATTAACTTCAATAACCATTAGTGAACAAAATTCATAGTTTCTAATAATTTCCTATTAAATGATCGGTTACTCTTCTAGATGCCATAAGTGAAAGTAGTCCGCGCGTTGTGGACGACAACCGCGCTCGCAAGCTGTCGAATGAACTGCGGAGGTGCTCATACTACGAGACGTGCGCGACATACGGACTTAACGTCGAAAGAGTTTTCCAAGATGGTGAGTTTCCATTCCATTATCGAACGTATGCATCACCGAGGTACTATTCGATGCTAATTTCCTTTAAAAATGATTTTGTTAACGAATCTTAAAAAAGTAGCTTTTATGCTCTTAATTTGTCATGGCTCGACTTTTTTTGTCTATGTGGGTGAGAGCGTCAAAAAAGCAACTCAGTATTTTTAATCCTTATGTATTTTTTATTTCAAATTATAGTATAGTTTTCAAAGATATCTCGTGATAAATCAGATTAAATACTCACGTGCATGCACTGAATTATTAATTAGCATTGTCACCTTTATTTTCAAAATCAACGGACAGGCATACCCGCCCACCGGTTTGTCGTTGAAGACTTGTTTATAAAATTATATAATGTTCAAGTTTTTTTGGTATTGGTTCGCGTGCCACGCTCGCGTCGTGATGAGTCTAGTAGGCCTCAAAGTAGTTGATCTCGTTTCTGTTTCCGCTGGGGAGTCCTATACGCGCGCAGTGGTAACACTGGCCCCCAGCCGTGCGGTCGTTTCGTTCATTCATTCATTCTATGCGCATTGTTTACCTTTTTTTTTTGACATTCTGTAACGTTTAATCTCGGCCCTGAACGCGTTGGTTACGTAGTCTCGTAAAAATACGCCAATAATTTCAACATTTCTGAATGGAATTATGGATAAAACATTGCTTTTCAAATCTAATTTATCGCCTATATCAAGTCTGAGGCGTCGCAGTTCCTGTTATAATATACAAAGAGCTGAGGAGCGCGATCGTAGAAAATCGGCGAAATTTGAATGTGTGTGAATATATTATTGTTGAAATACCGTTTGTGTTTGTTTACGAATTCTTTAGTGGTAATTGTGTAAATTGGTAATGTGACAAAGGATCTTTCAAAATATTATGCCTATTCGCAGCATGCCAGAAGATAGTTGGGACTAGGCTGTCGGCTTCATCACAGTGTCTGTCTGGCGGTTCCCGGCCAGTGACACCACAGCCACTGGCAAATTCTCCAAGTCACAATCACTCAACATTTCTCTATAAGGTGTGTGTGTTAACCTTGCCGCTTTCCTTAAAATAGTCAAGAAATTAACTCCATTCACGCATCATTGGACTTCTTAGAATTGTAAGAGAAGGTATCTTTTATTTGTGTGTGATAACAATGCATTAAGGAAGATGAGCACTTCTATACGAATATAATAAACATAATTACAATGCTTTAGTCTGACAAATACCCACTTTCATATATTATTTCAATAAAAGTGGATTCCAAATTCCAGTCTGTTTCAAGGTCTTCCAAGTGTATGTACATAATATATTAAAGTAATTAAAAATCTATATTTCATAAACCTCATTTTTCTTTTTTTGTATTATATGAGTATCTCAATTGGACGTTGTTATGAAAATGGGATACAACCCACAAATCTGTCAAAATAAAGTTTAACCAACAGAGAAGCCTAAAAATTCACAGGAACATTCTATAGGTTCTATGAAGATTAAGGTGATTTAAAAACTTTTAGCTACAAAAATACACTAGCCAAAAAGATATCAACTCAAAAAAGAACTATTTTGCAATACACAAAAAGATCCATTGTAATTTTTATTTAATTAAAGTAAGTTAACAATTGCAACACTTGATTTTGCAAAAAAGATCCAAGCTCTTTCGCAATTACAGTAATATATATAATGTAATATATATCTGTTTATATAGCTTCACATTATATTGATTTTTATAATCATATGAATACCATTTGTCAATATCTCATTGCCTTTCATACAAATAAATTTTGTAATAAAGGTCCAATCCACATAGAATGTTGTAAAGACCAAAACCCATTTTTCTTAAAACTGACATCATGTGGGTTGGATCGGGTTTGCATAATTACCTATTTCCAATTAGTGTCTTGATAAAGTGTTTATTTTGGGTTTTTCTGTTACAAAAATTTCCAGGAAAATAATACAATCTTATCTGATTGCATTACAATTTAATATCAACACATTTAGTGATAATTGATGAAAGCTTAGGAGATACTATCATAATTATCACTAGTAATATCATTCACAATGTTCTTTTTGTGAATGATATTTATTATAGATGTTGAAGTTAAGCAGAAGAGTAGAATCAGCGGAATAGTAAAAATAAAACAATCCAAGTATATATATGCTAATATGAAATGCTAATTACCTAAATTACTAAGCTATTGACAATAACATCAAAGTAAATATAATGTTTACATGTAGTTAATTAATTTTGTGGAAATCATATTCACAGTAATGAATTATAACAATCAGTTCCTTGTAGTATCAGTATTGAGACATCAATAGTGAAAACCACTTATATTTCCTTTAAAATCATTACCATTAATGTGAAAGGTGGTTAAAATTTATATTTTATTACACTAGGTACCTTCATGATCTAGATCAGTTTTATTTTAGCTCTATTCTTTTTATAGATACCAAACTATAAGCATCAAAAAATTATATCTAACAAAAAGTGTATAATACTTCTTAATACATGCATATTAAATTGTTCTATGTGAATATATGTTTTACGGTGCTCCAAAACTCTGTGAACTAATTGTTTTAAACCTTCAAACGCAGCATAAAACATATAACTTTATAAAGTCTTCACATAAAACCTAAAATGTAACTAAACTTAATATTTTCAGGACTCGTTACCGCGTGGTCACCATACGCTCTCAGCGTCTTCACATCACCTACACAGGGGCGCTTCGTCTTTCGACGCCTCCTCCAACAGCAGCGGTATATCATCAACACACGTGGTCGAGATACACAGCACCAACGGATCTGACGCATCGTCGAGGTGGGGTAACTCGCTCGGTAGCCACGGCTCATCATCAGGACTCGTTTCTATAGCAACTGAAAATAATAATGTCAAATTCACTGCACCACACTGCTTAGATAACCTCCAACCAGTTAAAGACTCCAAAGATTTACCAACGCCTTCTTCGACTCCCACCACCTCAAGGAAGTCGAGAAGAAGATCAAATCTCTTCACCCCCTCAAAGAAAGGGGATGACAGACTGAAGAATGGAGAACTGGGATCTGGTAGAGCGATACCGCTTAAACAGGGATATCTTTACAAGAAGAGCAGTAAGGCTTTGAATAAGGAATGGAAGAAAAAGTATGTTACGCTGTGCGATGACGGGAGACTTACATATCATCCCAGCTTGCATGTGAGTTCTTTTATAGTCATATTTTTAATAATATGATCCAAGTCAGTATGATTTATACATTTTTGAATTAAAATATGAGCTGCATATTTTTATAATTAAACAATTTTTAATATTTCAATGTAACATATCTGCGTGAAGCAGGCGCCTTTTATTTAATGTAATACGTATGGAATCTCAGACTATAAAGATTGGAAAACTTGTTATAATATCAGTAAGGGCACAGCAATACCGAGGGGCAACTATTGCCATTTTTACTTATGAATATTATCGGTCGAATTAATTATTATTAATACAATACTAGTTTTGTCGGCGTTCCGTTTTTTATTGCGTAAATTTAATGTCACTTTCTGTCCTAATTAGTGTCAGGATGGGTTGTCAACCTGGCACTATCTGTGACCGTCGAATATCTCATAATAACAATTAGTGATGGAAGTTTCTTTTTAAATTTCAATATATTAAGTCCGATATATATAGCTTATAGTCGATATCGATATATCCTGTTCCTTCGATATCGATATTGATATATAGCTATATTTTTGGATATCGATATATATCGTATTTCTAATATATCGTGCATCCCTAATAGTAATAGTCATTTGTTTCTACTCTGCTATATATTTATTTCAAAAATAAAAAATATTTTAGATTAGGTTCTTGCATTATATGTTCATATAAAAGAAATTGCTAAACCTTTTTTATAGGATTTCTAATTTACCCTCTAAAAGAGACAGCCATGTATCAAATTCATATATTTATGTTGTGTGACCAACTTTCAAATACCAAATTACGAATAGCAAACTACTATCCCAAAGGGTTCGGCTTTTCTGTTTTGCTATGGAATCCCAAAAACCATAAGTTTCAATTAGCTCCTTAAAGTAACATTCCAAACCCTAACCAACAACAATTTAAATAAGAAACAACTTATAAGGTTTATTAATTATAAGTAGGTATTAAATTTGCATTTTAAATAAAAAGCTTTACATTATATTCGCAGCCGTAAAGAAGTCTTTAGAAATCAAAATTTCTTGAGACAATCCAATATAATATTAGAACAGTAAAAATATTCATAAGAATGTGTTGCACACGCCAAACTTCTATAATTACTTTTTACGTTGCGTGATAGAGGTAACGTCACACGACTACGTTTAATATATAAATAGACGAAAATTTGTTTGTTATATTTATGAAAAAGTTATACACAAACATAAATATTAACTTTGATTGATATATTTATTCCGCACGTGTCGCAAGGGCACCTTTTCTCCCTGTTTTATTACATAGATTCCAACTTATATAGGGGAGTATTATAAACTTATTCTTATCAGATAATAGCAGCCAGGTTCATTATTTTTTTACTTTATATTCCAATATTTAATATAGTAGAAAACATTTTTAAAAAAATTGTACAGATGTGATAATTCATATACAGATAAGTCGATTATGAGACATCATTAGATAACGAAGTCATTAGTCTAAATCAAATAAAATAATAAAATTGAATGAAGAATATGTTTTGTTACTGCATTTTGAAATATTAATTACTATAAATATTGAATTGACTTGATAGAAGTGTATTCATGCTTTTAAAAAATATACATCCTTATTAGAATAGAATAAATTGCAACATTCATTGGTTTGAAGCTGATGAAAATTTTCAATAGTTCAATCCATTGAAAATATTGCTGAATTATTTTTGTAGGTTAACAATGACACTTTTTCATGCATATTATCTATTTTTAATTGCATTCCTATGGAATAATAAAATTTCTTGATGATTTTTCAAACTGATAGAACGACAGATATTATTGTGTATGTCCTAAAATGGCTTCACGCTGGTATAGGATGGCTCTAGTGGTTATTAGAATATGTGAGATTGTATTATCTTTTATCTGTGTAACATACATTTTGTTTTATCCTCTTTATCTTTGGTATTGGGAAAAGTTGAATTCCGATAAAGGTTGCGAGAGGTTTATGGAGAACTTGTTAATAGTAAATTATATGATTATTAAATTAATTAAGAAATATATGGTGTCATTTCAAAAATCAGCCAAACACGTACACTCGCATTCGACCGTTCATACCATAATAAGTATAATAAAACGCAAAAATAAACCTCGTAGGTTATGTGGGAGCCCCATCGATATTTATTTTATTCTATTATAGGCAGCAGAAATACATTATCTGTGAAGATTTCAACTATTTAACTATCACGCACAGACAGACAGACAGATGGACGGATAGCGAAAACTTAGTAATAGGGTTCCGTTTTACCCTAAAATATATGCTATTTTTAATTGTTCTAGGATTATATGGAGGATGTGAACGGTAAAGAGATCTCATTACAATATGTGACGGTGAAGGTGCCAGGGCAGAAGCCTCGGGGGTCCAAGTCTATAATCACTACGGTCCCCGGGTACAACGGGTACACTAGTCTAGACATACACGACAGCATCGGTGGACTATCTCTAGGTGAGGACGCTGGAATTTTTTTCACAAGTAAATAATAATAATTAGGTAAGTATAAGAAAATAGTAACTTCGTAGCCGTCATAGATCGCTAACAGCGTTTAAAATTCGCTACATTACCCTTTTTCGGGGGCATCAAAAGAAACATAATGTGTTTTTTAATTGGTGCCCAGCCCTAACATAAAATTCCATGTTTTGATATGAAAAATGGCAGAATTTCATAGAAACTTGTTAGATGTAGATATTCCTTAATTGCTGGGAAAGGTGATCTATAATTTTCAATTAGTAGCCTTAAAATAAACCCGTTTCATCCTCTTAGGACGTACTAAATATCTATACTGATCAATAATCATGAGTCCAACAACAACAGTTTACCCTCTGCGATGATGAATCACTCAGTGAAATGTATATGTAGATTGATAAAGGGCTTACCCACTTCATGAAAATATATAATCAAATGTTTTTATTATTCAATATTAATTTTTAAATCAAAAGATATTTTTCTTTATCTCTTAAATAACTTTTTAATTCTGATGCTTTATGATTGGGCAGTATTGGACTTTATATCAGCAAATAAAAGTAATAATATACCTAACAACATATAACTATAAAGACTGTGATCTAAATAATGAATCGCAAGCCGATATCAACTGATAATTTGCAGAACATTTATCAATATAACGTCTCGTTTAAACCGAGTCATTGTTTATTGCTTCACGCTCCGTTTGTCGCACGCTTAAATCGCTGTGAAGAATCTCTAATATCCGTATGGCATACGTATGGTCTGCTGCATAGCATGGTTTTGATAACTTGTTTTACATAGTCATTTAGTTTTTTGTATTTTATATATTAATGTAATAGAATTTGAATTAAAACATCGACAATTTTACGTTTAAAATTGCTTGGATAACTTTGTCAGTTTTGTATAACCTGATGTGGCAAAGAGAAATACAAACTATCAACTGCTATTTGTAGCAATATCTCACAATATTTATACTTTATTGAAAACCTGATTTGTTCTGCAGTGTATTATACATGAGCTGCATTACCTATTTGGCTTTGATTTCACTTAGAGTTACTTTTTTTCAGGTTATAAAGATAAACCGACGAGACTCACCGATAAAGCTCTGTTGTCGGCATTTGACACGATGAAGGAGCCAGCGTCCAGTCGACAGTCTATAGCTTCAGACGATATGACCACTAACGGAGACAAGGATGTTAAGAAAAGGCATAGAAGAATGAAAAGCAGTGGGGTCAAAAAAGATGGTGACGAAGGTAAGATACGAAACTAAAGTCTTTTAAGTATTAAAATAGCATTTATATAGAATTCAGATTTATCCTGAGGTTTTATTACAAACCAAAGAAGTTCCCTTACAGTCGCAGCTATTCATAAGATCCATGAAAGCAAAAGTATCTGGCATCATCCACGCAAGAAGGTTTACATCGAATACATTTATTAACAACGGACGCATGACTGATTTTGCAGAGGGAGAGAACGCGTCGTCGTGCGAATTCACGATAGTTAGTTTGGATGGCAAAAGATGGCGATGGGAAGTGGGGGCTACGGGATGTGCGGCCGCCGCCGAACGAGACGCCTGGGTGGCCGCAGTAGAGGCACAGATACTGGCCTCGCTACAGGGACGGGTGAGTCGCACAGTACCAGTCACGATATGTGACGCCTGGGTGGCCGCAGTAGAGGCACAGATACTGGCCTCGCTACAGGGACGGGTGAGTCGCACAGTACCGGTCACGATATGTGACGCCTGGGTGGCCGCAGTAGAGGCACAGATACTAGATGTTACTTGTTAATCACATTTGTTTCAAAGGAAAAATATCTATAAATAACTTTCACTGTCATAAGTCAGTGGTCGGAATTAGGTAGAGTTATTCATGTACTTACACTGATTTCATACAGCGAAAGAATAAAGTGGATGTGCCTCAAATCCCGAGATTAATTTTAAAGAGCAGAAAAAAATCCCGTGATTTTTTAAATAAAAAGTTGTTTACTTTTACACAATTTAAACTACTGCACGCACGACGTTGCCAAACAAAAGGATGTCCAAAGATGTCCAAGATTGTCCATTAGAAATCCCGGGAAGGTCCACATTAATATCAACATTTCGATGCAAGTATATGAATAACTCTACCTAATTATGTCAACCATTTAAATATTATCTTTACAGACGTCGCGACTGCCGGCGCCTACCGGTGCGAATTCTACCGGTGACGTGAGAGCGACATACTATATAAGGAGGGTGAAGGGCAATGATAAATGTTGCGACTGTGGAGCTCAAGGTCAGTATTGAGATGAAAATAGAAGGTATTTGTTTTTATCGAAATAGAAATCTAGTAATTTATATTGTGCGGATATAACTATGATCATGTTGTTGTTGAGAATTCTAATTTATGATTGGTAATTTAAATAAGTGCAAAACGGAAGATTTTCTTATTCAAATGGAAATGTGGATTGTTAGAAATTATTTGCTTTTTGTAGTATTTTATTTGAAGAGGAAATGTTTTTCTGTTCTTGTTGCTCCTGTGCGTATTCGGCCCGTTAGCCTATGAAGTAATAAGATTTGGAATGTTTGCAAGTGTGTGAACTACCCTCTGTTAAAATTAAATAAACCATCACAAACTAAATCCAACAGTTTCCAAGAACTCTCTCAAAGCTAAAAAAGTTGTAAAATCGAGTCAGACAGTGTAAAATCGTCTTGATAGCCAACGAACTTCAGTGTGAAACAACAAACGGTTAAAAACTCGTCATTAGTAACACAAAGCTGGTGAAATAATCTATCATTCAAATAGCTGTTGCGGATTTTAAGGACTGCTTTGATGACATTATGTAAAAGCTTACTCCAAATTATTCAAAAAAGTATGTGCATTGGCGAAGTCAAATTTTATTAGAGACAAAATTAAAAATTCCAATAATTAAATTAAAACTACTTGGAATATTATCAATCGTGAAACTGGTAAAAATAGACCACATGACGATGTATTGGCACTTACTTTCAAAAACGAGCTTATTAAAACTCCTGAACTGATCGCTAATATTTTTGATGATTTTTTCATAAATAAACCGATCGAGACGACTTCTAATTTGAATTATTCGCCAGAGGCAGCAATGGCTATGCTTAGGAAATGTGTACCAAAATGTGATACCTTATTTAAGTTCAAATATATTGATTCATTAGATGTTATCAAAGGCTTCAGATCAATAAAAATAAAAAACACTCGTGACCTATGGGGTATATCAGTAAATATAATTAAAAGAGTATAATTAATATAATTGCTCCATATCTCGCTGATATTTTCAACCTCTGTATTGATGAGGGTATTTTCCCCGATCTCATGAAATTTAGTAAATTCATTCCTCTTTTTAAAGCTGGTAATAAACAGGATCCTAGTAATTATAGACCCATTTCAATTCTACCGACACTAAGCAAGATTTTTGAAAAACTTATTCTGGAACAGCTAATATCCTACTTTAATTCTAACGAGCTTTTGCATACTCAGCAATACGGTTTTACCAAGGGTCGTTCGACGACAGATGCGGGTGTTGCGCTACGAAAGCATATATTTAGAGCATGGGAGGGATCGCAAAACGCTCTTGGAGTTTTTTGCGACCTGTCCAAAGCCTTCGATTGTGTTGAGCATTAGACACTGTCGTTTAAACTGAATTACTACGATATTAAAGGTGCTGCTCAAAAACTAATGCTGTCGTATCTTAGTTCCAGAATACAAACAGTAGATATAAACGGTGCGAAGTCGTCGGGGTCTCATGTAAAAATAGGCGTTCCCCAAGGTTCTATCTTAGGCCCATTTCTATTTTTAATATATGTAAATGATTTATCATTTTTTGTTAAAAACCTATGTGAGAACGTGTTGTTTGCAGATGACACTTCATTGATATTTAACATTGATAGAAACAAATATAATTTTGACGATGTAAACAATGTTCTCTCACGGGTGTTATCTTGGTTCACAGTTAATAATCTTCAATTGAATGCAAAAAAAACCAAATGTATAAAATGCACTTTACCTAATGTAAAAGTAGAAAACCAACTGAAATCAAACTCAACAACGATTAGAGTAAGTAAGTTCAACAAAATTTTTGGGCATAACACTAGATTCAAAACTGCAATGGAACCCGCATATTTCTATATTAGCTGGTAAACTCAGCTCAGCTGCATATGCCATACGAAAAATAAGACAAATTACCGATATAGAAACTGCCCGGGCAGTGCACTTTAGTTATTTTCACAGTATCATGTCCTATGGCATTATATTGTGGGGAACGGCATCCGATATTCAGTCTATATTTGTTTTACAAAAAAGGGCAATAAGAGCTGTCTATCAGTTGGGCTCGCGAATATCTCTTAGAGAGAAATTGAAAGAAATTGGAATATTGACGGTTGCATCTCGATTTATATATAGTTGTATACTTTTTGTCCGGAACAATATTAATGTGTATTCTAAACATAGTGATGTACACAAACTTAACACTAGAATTAAAAACAAGCTAGTAATGCCTTACAGGTTACAGAAGGTATTAGGTTCTTTCATGGGTCAAGGTATACAATACTTTAACAAGATCCCCAGTGATGTATTAGATTTGCCAATAAATCATTTTAAAAGTCATATTAAAAATTGTCTACAAAGTAAAGGATATTATACCTTTAAGGAATATCTAAATGACAATATATATTGTAATGAAAAGTGACTTCATATCCTAATGAAGTCACTTTTCAATAAGACTTCTCTGTGTGAAATAAAACAGGGAGAAAAAAACAGCCCTTACTGAGTTTCTTGCCGGTTCTTCTCAGTACAAGGTCTCCCGCCGTAGTTTTGCGAACCGATGGCGTAGTTTTCGATTTTCACAAGTACTCTGTAAAAGCCTAAACTGAATAAATAAATTTTGATTTTGACATTGCAGTGATTGAAATAGTTGTTCACTGAAGTTTCTGGCGACCAAATGTTGTCAATGAATAACGCAATGTTCAGTAAGGTCACCTGTAATTTGGTTTTTTAAGTGCGCTATGAATACTTTATGGCACCCTGCCATAGCCGGAGCGCCATCCGTAGCAACTGATATAATATTTTTCAAGGGAATCTCTCTCATTATATAACTTTTCCAATATATTGAATATGCTTTCGCCTTTTGTATCGGGCTCTCAAATTCTAGCAAACAACATTTCTTCGCATATTTTCTTATCTTTGCTACGTGACAGCTATAAAATAATAGCAAGTTTATTTTATTTTTGCAAAATTAACTTCCAATTTATAATCTGTGATTCACAACAACCGAACGGGCGGAGCATTGCGTGACATCTCATTTCAATACACTAAACGTTAACGTTTTTGTTGTGAGTGCAAATAGGAGTCATATTTATTGAAATGTGACGTCACTGTTTGGAATGTCATGTGTCTAGGTGATTTTGAGAGTCAATTTAAATTAATAGATAATATGTTTTTCCTTTGTTTAATAATCCTTTCTTTTTGTCAGAAAAACAATTGTGATATAGGTTTTATATAATCAAATGAAAGTTTTAAAATACTTTTCCGAAAACAATAAAGTAGTCAATTTTATATTTAAAAAATAATTGTTTTTGCATAAAAAAATTTAATAAGCGTAAAAATTATCCACACCTCTGTATATATAAATATTTTCGATGTATTTTGAGCAAAAAAGCTTAGCACGTGACCCGTTATTTAATTATTATATGTGATTTGTTTCAGATCCTGACTGGGCGAGTTTAAACTTAGGTATTCTGATATGTATAGAGTGTTCAGGCGTGCACAGGAATCTCGGGTCCCACATATCGAGGGTTCGATCTCTCGACCTGGACGAATGGCCGTGAGTATTTTTAGTTAAGCTATTCCTCAGTATAGGTTACTGAAAACGGGAAAACGCCTTTGAATTATAATTATTCTAATTTGAATTTTATCACCCCTATAATAGCATTTTGTGTTCATGTTGTATTTTGTTTATATTTTTGTCCCTTGATTGATATTTTTGAATATTGTATCTGTATGTTTGCCCACAGACTGGGTCATGTAAGCGTAATGGTGTCGTTGGGCAACGCGTTAGCCAACGTTATATGGGAGGCGGACTTACGAGGACACACGAAACCGCACGCCGCGTCTTCTAGGGAGGAGAAAGAACGGTATGTTTTTTTTTCCACTAGATAGATTTTTAGAATATGCTTTTTGTGTATTGCATTAAATCAAAAAATATTATTTGTAATAAATACACTTTTATACTCATATTTGTATAGATTGGAAAATTAATAAAAAAATTAATGGTATCTTATATATTACACAAAGCTTTCAAAGCAAAAAGTAAATATAAAACGGACTGAATGCTCTTCGTCAAACCAACTCTCACTTTTCAACGACACAAACTATTTGTCTATAATGTTTATTGGAATAATATAATACAGAAGATATCAAAGCATTCTGCCTATGCTAGTGACGAATCACGCTTTCTCGGACTATAGTAGGATTACCAAATGAAAAAAAAAATATTTTGCAATAAGATATTTGACACTATTAAAAATAAGTTGCTTATTATGGTCATCCTGTTAGAGAATAATCTTATAAAGTTTATTTCTTAGAATCTGCAGATAAAATATGTTCAGCTTTAGTAAAATGACATAAAGAAAATTCAACATTTTTAGGAATTTTAATGAACGACGAAAACGCCCTTGTAATTGGTTATTGTCGCAACCAATAACAGGTTCTGTTTACCGGCATGTGACGTCATACGTAAACTGGAAGCATGACAGTCAAAACAGTGTTATTAGAGATACGCTAAATTATCTAATACTATTTGTTCACTTAGTAAATAAATAGTTGATAAATAGGTTACATCGCCTTGACATATTTACTGGCATGTGACGTCACAAATACTACGTGGTCAGCGTCATTACATAGAGCTGCGTTTTTTGCGCGATTTTGGCTTTTTTAATTTTAACAATTATTTTCATAAAAATTTGAACCGATTGTGATGAAATATATTGACAGTTTATTTATAATGTATCAAACAACCATTTTAAATAATTTCAGAAAAGCGTCAAATATCCTATTGACTAAATAGCTAATACAAATAATCTGAATTTAGGGAGTCAGTTCCTTTCGTTATAATGAGACCTTTAATACCTAAGAGCCAGTTTCAACACTTGCCGATAAAGTCTTTGGAACATCATTTTTATGAAAAATATTCGCTTTCACACGATACGCTGGTGAACGTAAGTAAATAAGCGATTTAGACGAGTATCTGTTTTTAAATAACAATCGTCAATACGAAAGAGTTACCAGGCCACAATAGACAACCATCTATTTATAAGCGTATCACCATTCCTACACAATTAAAATATACCTGGCGAATGTGCATTATTTAAATGTTAAAATTTTATCGGCCGCTTCGTTAATTATCGTTCGAGTGACGGTCGGTGAACTAGGACCGGAGGCTCATAGTGGTCAGTGTTGAACGAGCGAATCTGTTCAGATGGATCCGGCTGAAGTACGAGCGGCGCGCGTTCCTGTGCGTGGGCGAGGTGGCCACCGACCTGGAGTCGCTGCGCGCGGCGGCGTCCCGCGGCGCCGTGCCCGCGCTGTGCCGCATGCTGTGCGCGCCCCCGCCCCGCGCGCCCTCGCCCCACGACCGCGCGCTCGCCCTGCGCGCCGCCGCCGCCGCCGGCCATCTGCCCGCCGCGCAGTTGCTCATATGGGTCAGTATACCTGCACACCCCGCCCCCTCCCCCGCCCCGCCCCGCCCCGCGCGCCCTCGCCCCACGACCGCGCGCTCGCCCTGCGCGCCGCCGCCGCCGCCGGCCATCTGCCCGCCGCGCAGTTGCTCATATGGGTCAGTATACCTGCACACCCCGCCCCCTCCCCCGCCCCGCCCCGCCCCGCGCGCCCTCGCCCCACGACCGCGCGCTCGCCCTGCGCGCCGCCGCCGCCGCCGGCCATCTGCCCGCCGTGCAGTTGCTCATATGGGTCAGTATACCTGCACACCCCGCCCCCTCCCCCGCCCCGCCCCGCCCCGCCCCGCGCGCCCTCGCCCCACGACCGCGCGCTCGCCCTGCGCGCCGCCGCCGCCGCCGGCCATCTGCCCGCCGCGCAGTTGCTCATATGGGTCAGTATACCTGCACACCCCGCCCCCTCCCCCGCCCCGCCCCGCCCCGCGCGCCCTCGCCCCACGACCGCGCGCTCGCCCTGCGCGCCGCCGCCGCCGCCGGCCATCTGCCCGCCGCGCAGTTGCTCATATGGGTCAGTATACCTGCACACCCCGCCCCCTCCCCCGCCCCGCCCCGCCCCGCGCGCCCTCGCCCCACGACCGCGCGCTCGCCCTGCGCGCCGCCGCCGCCGCCGGCCATCTGCCCGCCGCGCAGTTGCTCATATGGGTCAGTATACCTGCACACCCCGCCCCCTCCCCCGCCCCGCCCCGCCCCGCGCGCCCTCGCCCCACGACCGCGCGCTCGCCCTGCGCGCCGCCGCCGCCGCCGGCCATCTGCCCGCCGCGCAGTTGCTCATATGGGTCAGTATACCTGCACACCCCGCCCCCTCCCCCGCCCCGCCCCGCCCCGCGCGCCCTCGCCCCACGACCGCGCGCTCGCCCTGCGCGCCGCCGCCGCCGCCGGCCATCTGCCCGCCGCGCAGTTGCTCATATGGGTCAGTATACCTGCACACCCCGCCCCCTCCCCCGCCCCGCCCCGCCCCGCGCGCCCTCGCCCCACGACCGCGCGCTCGCCCTGCGCGCCGCCGCCGCCGCCGGCCATCTGCCCGCCGCGCAGTTGCTCATATGGGTCAGTATACCTGCACACCCCGCCCCCTCCCCCGCCCCGCCCCGCCCCGCGCGCCCTCGCCCCACGACCGCGCGCTCGCCCTGCGCGCCGCCGCCGCCGCCGGCCATCTGCCCGCCGCGCAGTTGCTCATATGGGTCAGTATACCTGCACACCCCGCCCCCTCCCCCGCCCCGCCCCGCCCCGCGCGCCCTCGCCCCACGACCGCGCGCTCGCCCTGCGCGCCGCCGCCGCCGCCGGCCATCTGCCCGCCGCGCAGTTGCTCATATGGGTCAGTATACCTGCACACCCCGCCCCCTCCCCCGCCCCGCCCCGCCCCGCGCGCCCTCGCCCCACGACCGCGCGCTCGCCCTGCGCGCCGCCGCCGCCGCCGGCCATCTGCCCGCCGCGCAGTTGCTCATATGGGTCAGTATACCTGCACACCCCGCCCCCTCCCCCGCCCCGCCCCGCCCCGCGCGCCCTCGCCCCACGACCGCGCGCTCGCCCTGCGCGCCGCCGCCGCCGCCGGCCATCTGCCCGCCGCGCAGTTGCTCATATGGGTCAGTATACCTGCACACCCCGCCCCCTCCCCCGCCCCGCCCCGCCCCGCGCGCCCTCGCCCCACGACCGCGCGCTCGCCCTGCGCGCCGCCGCCGCCGCCGGCCATCTGCCCGCCGCGCAGTTGCTCATATGGGTCAGTATACCTGCACACCCCGCCCCCTCCCCCGCCCCGCCCCGCCCCGCGCGCCCTCGCCCCACGACCGCGCGCTCGCCCTGCGCGCCGCCGCCGCCGCCGGCCATCTGCCCGCCGCGCAGCTGCTCATATGGGTCAGTATACCTGCACACCCCGCAGCCTGCAGCTAACTCGGACGTGGTTTGCTATGAATTCGCTTCCACAATAGCCTTCAATTCTTCATTATTAACTCGGGCCTCCAGCCGTCCACGGGGCTTGTTCTGCAGGTCGAAATTTCCAGAACGAAATCGTGGGAACCAAAAACGCACTGTTTTTTTTCCGACGCAACCGCTATACACATCATTAACCCTTCGAACCGTTTCCGCATTGTGATTAAACGATGCGGAAACGGTTCGAAGGGTAAATGATTAAAGTGAGTTGTGATCAAAGTGGCCAGTACGACAGAACGTCAATTTCATATGTAAGGACCTAATATTATTACAGGGCTATTATCACAATCGCTAATTTGTAAATTTTATTTTACAGCACAACGGCAACCCGAACTTCCCGGACGCGGACGGGCACACGTGCGTGTTCTACGCCCGAGCGGCCGCCAACCATCTGTCGGGGATCCCCCCGCAGTACCCCAAGAACTTGCAGCTCACCTGCCCCCTCCACCCCACCCCGCCCGCTTCGACCACCGATTCGTCGTCGTCGAGCTCCAGCAAGAACTCCCTCAGGAACCCGGAACCTGAATGCAACTGTATAATATTCGAGCTCCTAAACGCTCAGAGCGCGGCGAACGCTCTAGTTGAATTATTGATAGGACTACAAAACAACCAGTACATGAACGGGTTCGATAACGGCTCAGGATTGACGGCGTACGGTCACGCTACCCTCGGGAGACCTCTGGGTCCGAATCTATCGTTGACGAACGGAAAGTGTGGCAGTATTGTGTAATTTTTTTTTGCATTTGGAAAATGTGATGAGATTAATATCGACGAAAGGGAAATCAAAATTCAGTAGCAAATTGTGCCCACTGGGTTTTAGTAAAATATCTCACTACTTATCATCGTTCATTGTGATTTTAATGCTGTTATATTTTGTCGCGTAAAAGTGAAGCAGGCGTTATCTTAATCTCGGGTCTCGTATTCCCTACCCTGAAGATATATCTGATACGTAACCACATAAAAATTGTGACTGAAAATGAGAGATTTCATGTTAATATAGTAACCAAATTATGATCGACTAGATAATATAAAATTAATGGTTTTGATGACACAATATTTTTATCGATAACTGTTTATGAGCACTTATTTACGTGAATATTTTCTAGGAATAATATTAACGCACTGTATAAAAGTGAATTGCGAGAAATAACATACTGTCTGTGGCGAGTATGTTGACATATTTCTAATTTGAATGTGGGCCAAGCAAAATGTTTGGGAAAATAATGTACGTCATTAGTTTGATTTAAAAATCGATATCGATTCTAAATTTGATGACTGTCGTTAGGTGTAGTTAGATAATGCGATATATCATTGATATTAAAGTCACTTCATGTCACTGAAGATAATGTATAGGAGAAAATTTTAAATAAAAAGTGTTTCAGTTAAATTATATAGTTACATATAATGTTGTGTCCCTTCTACCGTTTATGTAACGTGAAATGACATTTCAAAATTAGCAAAATTTTACTATTGCGTCAATTTAGGAGAACATAATTCTTCTTTATCAACTTCTTTAGAGATTGTAAACTACAATATTTTGTATACTTAATTCTAGATTGTACTATGGTTTAGCTACACACTCTCCGAGTAATAATAGTTCAAACATGTTTTTTCTTTTGTAGTGGATTAGATGGCATTTTAGGTTCCTCACATTGAATGTACACACTTCGGTAAATCTGGTTATCACGAAACTTTTATATCCGCAAAAGAACTTAAACTTTATTGTTAGCAAATTAAGATTTGAAATTGTATTTAAAAAACTTACAGTTTTGTATAACCTGAACTGTACCATTAAAAAACTTATATCCGATATTAATAATATGCACTTATTTCAATTCATCGATAAACAAAACGAAAGTTTTAAAAGTATTTGTTTTTGTGCAAATAGTGTTAATTCTGAAGTACTAATTTATTAACTCAACAAAAATAGGTCTGGGATACGGATTCCGTATATTCCGGATGAGTAATTATCCGGATTGTGACGGATATACATTTTAACGTAAGTTGGTAGTTTTAATAGGTATTACATAAATTGTAACTTTAGGTGCAAGATCTCAGCTCAACGCTATGTGTAGGGTATATTAGGATAATTTTAGCAGTAATTAATTGTCGCTTTACCCTCGGCCCTTGGGTGTTAGTGTTAAGTAGTAGTATCTCGTTTAACTTTAAAAGTTAAATCATTATAATAATTGTAATTTCCTTTCATCACAAGTATATCGACTCTTAATAACCAAGACCAGTGTAGATAGATACACTTTTGGCGACCAGTCAAAATCGCCAAAAGTATATCTATCTACACTTTTGGCGATTTTGACTTTTTTATGCAGTTCTTTTCATGGTTCGCAATAAATAAGGAGTTGTGAGAAAATACCTACACTACCTAAGTTACGTGTCGTATTAATTGTATGGAAATGCCACCTATCTACAGAGAACGAGATTACTCGTTTTAAAATTTATTAAATTAAAGAGTTTTTTGTTTGATTTAAGTCTTTAATCTATATTATTTCGTCAGCCAATACCATCTATATTACAGTTCGCTGCATAAACAAACGCAAATATTTTAACTAATACCAGCTATCTACAGTAATTTTGAAACTAATGTAGATTTCTTTAAATACATGTAAACACCTTATTTTCCATGCGTATCCATTAAACGATCAGATATTAAAAAAAAACTTGTTTAGAAAAAATATGAAACTTTTTTCGTAGATAGATGGTCTTGGTTCTTAAGCGTCGATATCAACAATTCTGTTCTGTTTAAAATACGGCGTCACGGCATTAGATGTTCAATTAAATAAAATGTACTCTAAAGGTAATAAGTTTGCTTAAATCTAAAGGTAAAGGTAACAGCGCTTTGTTAGATGCTGCTTGCTATTGTTATCGAAAACTCAATATTTCTTCTTGATGTTTTGTTTGGCTGTTCATTTAAATGCGTAAGTTACGTGAAATTATAAAACAATACAAACGAATCTATTTTTATCACAAATGCTATTTTTAAGAACTATTTTCAAACCCCTCGAGAGGTTGAGCTTGAGACGATATTTCTCTATACAAGCTACTTTTATTTTAAATTTAATATAATATACATTCCGTTTTGTGTATGATGATTATCCACCCGAGGGCTAAATATAGATAGTTGATGTGATATTCCTGAGGTTTTTCCCGTAATAAGCCAAATGTACTGAACCCTTCTGTGCCTACTTTAGGTAGTTACGCTTCATTACACGATGATAGGCCGGGAGTAGAGAGATATTTGTATTTTATTATGACTCCTTGTCTATCGTTTGGTACTTATCCAATGTAAAGTGTTACTTCTTACGCGTCTATTAGTGCATTTTTCGCTATTGTTTAAGTGTTACAATTGCGAGTGCATTTATTTCACGTTATTCAGTCAGCTGCGTGAACTTTTTTTATATCAACGACTTTCAATTTCACAACACTTACTTTAGAAATTAAATTAAAAAATTCCCATCGGCTAATTTATCTTTGTAAAAAGTTATTTTAATCTGGCTACTGTAAAACAGATTATGAAAAATTTAGTCAAGAGTGCTATTATGAATAATGATGACGGATTACTGTTTGCGTTACGACAATTTTAATAAAATCAAGTTTCTTATTTAAAGAATTCTTTTAAATAGAATTACACTGAAGAAATCTCAATTCTAAACTGAAACTCTTATCTACATTTTACGGTGTTACTTTCGTTGATTTCTTTTATTATAAAAATGTGTATTAAGTTGTAAATTTTAGCAATAAACGGTTTACCGACGTCAGTATTCGTGAAAATTGTATAAAGTGCACATTTTACTCGCGCGCACCGTTTCTGTACAATTTTGTATAATTATTACGTTTGTGTATAATTTTTAATAATTTGAAATGTTGAAATTTTATTGCTAATTTTAAATTCGTTACCTTTTATTTGGTTTCATTATTTTATTTCAAACATTTTTTTTTAATTATATATATAAATGTTTTCTGTATATTTTTTTGTAAAGGCCAAAGAGCTTATCATTGTAAATATTGTATAAGGCAGCTATAGGTTTTTTAGCTGTGCCCTAGACTTTCGTTATTGTAATTTTTAAGAGATTTGTTGATGTTCTCGATCTTGTGAAAATAAAGTGTAACGAACACGGCTTATGTTTTTTATTGTACCCGGATTATATTTTGACCTACATGTCTTTATTTGGATAAGATAAGGGTAATAAGTGTAACCAAGAAAGCGGCCATTCTAAAGAAGCACCCACTGTTTTATTTCAATGTTTTATCTTTATGGCTGTAAATATACGTTCACATATATTTTGTTAATATATTGTAAAGATAATATTATTTTGATTTCTCGTAACGGATGATAAACTCAAAAAAAAATGTATAGTACTTGTATAAATGTGGACGAATCCCACAAATATTTTTTATATATTATTCATAAAGTTTAAATACGTATTTATTTTATTCTCTATTTTAGTATTCTTATAGAGGCAACAGAAATACATTTGAGAAAATTTCAACTCTAAACTATCACGATTCATGAGATATATATAGCAGGTGACAGACAATCGGACAGTGGTGTCTTAATAACAGGGTCCCGTTATATTGGGTATGGAATCCACAAAAGGGTGCCATGAAGTTCGTTAGCTCGCTATTTTTTTTGGGATCTTGAAAGCATGAAAACAGCACTTAAAATAATGAATACCGTCATAGATGTCGCTGATGTACATTACGATTTAAAAAATAAAAATAATACTAGATGGCGTCTGGCTCATTTTTCATCAATAACATGATCCGCCCTGCATTCTGTAACAATCCAATCCAGAATTCAAATTCACTTTAAAAGAGGCATCCACTCGACCTAGAATTGGTAATGCCGTTTCGTGGCATAAGCGAAGTGAATTACGAAATGACATAGAAATAGAATAATTGAGACACGTATGAATCAATCAATCTTGTTTTGAAGCTTTGTATTAAAAAAAAAATGGAACCAAATTTATTTCTACACTAAACGACGTGAATTCGAAAACATGAGTGAATTTGAATTCGGGTTCGGAATTTTCTACAGAATCGCTCCCCTGGACTAGATGATAATAAAATGGTTATGATAACTGTATCATTTCTTATTTTATTTATTTATCATGAAGCCTATTATAGCAATGAACGTCAGCTATTTATTTCTCCGAGAGTGGATTGAGTTGAGTAGTGGCAGTTTTCCAAACACTACTAGGAAAAAATGTTGTACCTTGTAATGTAATATCATTGGTATGTATGTAGTACCAAAGCAAGCTTTAAATGTTGTTTAACATAGTGCAAAGTGCAAAGAACTGCAACCTATATAATACTTGACCCCAAGTTGCCATGAGTTCTTTTATATTATTTAAAATATTATGAACATAAATTTCTAGCCCTGACATTGATGTGTTAATATATATTTTTACATACCAAGAGCTTAAAATGTATATTATATTCAAATTGAATAGATTTTCAGTGACTTAATTTTTCGTTCAAAAATAAAAAATTGTTTCAGAATATTTTTTATACTGTCCATAATATCAGAGATCTACAGTTTACCGACGGTCAAAAAGGAAAGACGACAATTTCCGTCCAATTTTTCCAACCCCTTTCTCTCACAGGAAATGTCTAGAAATCAGACTGCTTCTTTTCGTTCTGCAAATTGGATTACGAAAAAAATGAAATATTATTTTTCTAGGCAGATAATATTTTGTGTAAGCGTGTAGGCAC